CCTGCCCCAGATCTCACAGACTTTGTTGTTGTGCCTGGGGGCTGTGCTTGGCAAGTCAGGGTGGGGTAGGGATTAGACTCCTTTGTGCCCACAAGTCTTCCCTGCGGCATCTTGTATAATTTTTAGTAAGTGTCTCATACTTGTAAAGAAAAGCTTTGGGGCTAGGAAAGTGGCTCGGCAGTAGATCAAAGGCTTTGCATGTGTGAGGACTTTGTTTTGATCACCAGCATCACACACACACACACACACACACACACACACACACTCACTCACATATACACAAACATGTCTTTGGTTTTGTTTTTAGAGCTATACCCGGCGATGCTCAGGGCTCTGCATTTGGGAATTACTCTCGGGGAGCCATATGGGATGCTGGGGATCAACTCCAGGTCAGCCCTATTGCAAAGGTAGGCACCCTACCCACTGTACTATCACTCCAGCCCCTCACACACACAAGTTTTTAAAATTCTAATATTACCTACTTTAATACCTCAAAGCCCTTGACCCGGGGGGTAAAGGCACAAGGTACTCAGGGAAAAGACTGAGCTGATAAACAGGTAGGTAACTTCCATTAAGTAGACACACACACACACACACACACACACACACACACACACACACTGCTCCAGAACTCCTATGCTTATTTTTGGGGAGGCATGGATGCTTATTTTTGGGGGGATATGGGGCATACCTGATGCTCAAGGGAACTCCTGGCTTTTCAACCAGGAGTTGATCCTGGTGTGCTCAGGTGACCATATGGGATTCTGGAGATCAAATCCAAGTCAGTCATGTGTAAGGCAAGAGTCTTACCTTCAATATTATCTCTCTGGCTCCATTTTTGGGTTTTATTTTTGCAATGCCTAGGATTGAACCCTCACACCTGCCAGACAAGTGCCTTACTGCTGAGCCGCGTCCCCAACCCCTCCCATGTATTTTTTCCTCCCATATATTTTTTAGAGGTGCCTACTATTGACATGCATTTCCAACAACAAACTAAGGAGATGGCGGTGACAGAGCTTCTCCACACTCTGTGGAGAGGGAGGAGGGGAGGGGCCCAGGCTCTGCTCTCTGACTTTGTGGGTTTCAAGCCCTTATCTCTGCATTTCCTTCTGATCAGAGGATGGTACTTCTTTCATGGCTTTATGGAAATGCTCTGTGATTTAAACGAGATAGAGATGCGATGTGGGTACCATACAGACTGGCCGCCTGATGTTGAACCATGATTCCAAACAGTAATTCCCAAACTTGAGGCCAAAGAGAGCTCAATGGGCTGAGCGCACTTGTTCTTCCCGTAGCAGGCCTGGGTTGGTTTTTGGTTTTTTTTTGGCTTGTTTAGGGGCCATACCCAGCAGTGGTCAGGGCTTCCTCCCATCTCTGTGCTCAGAGATGATTCCTGGAGGTGCTTGGGAACCATATGGAGTGCTGGGGATCAAACCAAGTTGGCTGCGTGCAAGGCAAGCACCTACTCTGCACCATCTCTCGAGCTCTGAGGCCTCAATTCTATCCCTAGCACCTCAGGGTCCCCTGAACACTGCTGAGAAGCACAGGGCCAGAGAAACAGCTGGTCATGTTATGGGAGACTCTCCCCCGCAACTCCATATTCTAATAAAACTTCCTAAATACTACCTCACAAATAACCTGTACCTAGTTAATGCTAATCGCAGCAGGAAATATTCTGAATGCTACTTCCTGGGAAATTATTCAGGTGTCATGATCCATGTGGGAACCAGAATCAGAAGTGGCAGTAACAGGTTTTATAGGGTATTTGCTTTCAGACACACCCACCTATTCTGTCACCGGCTGCCAGCAGAGAACCAGGGTCCTTCCTGACTCCCTGTGGCTCTCCCCACACAAAGATGCTGCCTTCTCACACCCCTGCTGCCCCTGCCCGGGGAGTTTGCTCTAACAGCTGTTAGGTTTGCTTAGAATTTTTTTGTTTTTGTTTTGGGGGAAACGCACCAAGAGGTGCTCAGGGCTTACTCCTGGCTCTGAACTCAGGGCTGGGGTTAGGGGGACATACAGGGTGCTGGGGATTGAACCCAGGCCAGCCTCATGCAAGATAGGTACCTTACCCACTGAAATCTCTTCACCCTTCTAATAGCATTGATCATTACTGTGTGTGTGTGAAGCAAAATAGTTTTTATTGAAACTTACTTAGACGTGAGGGGAGAGAGAGAGGAAGTACATGTTCCAGAGAGAATGCAGCCTCTCCAGAGTAGAAATGAGTGAAAGACATGTTCAAGGGAGAACAAGGGCTTGGAGAGCAAGAGCCGCTGACAGCTTTTAAGTGAAAAATGTCAGATGACAATACTTGGAAGCAAAATTTCACCTGCTGTTCTCTTGGCCCACTTCCTCCCAAGGTTTCCCCAGGCTCCAGGCAAGAGTTTAAAGGTGAAGTGTGCACACCCAGTGATAAATGAGTCTGTTAAGTCTGTTGGAGGGATAGTCTTTGTCCTAGATCCAAGATAAAGAATATTTTGCTGTTTTTTTTTTTTTTTTTTTTGGTTTTTGGGTCACACCTGGCGATGCTCAGGGGTTACTCCTGGCTCATGCACTCAGGAATTACTCCTGGCGGTGCTCAGGGGACCATATGGGGTGCTGGGAATCGAACCTGTGTCGGCCATGTTGGGTGTGTGCAAGGCAAACGCCTACCCGCTGTGCTATCGCTCCAGCCCCTATTTTGCTGTTTCTAAAGGTCAATGGTGTTATTTCTCTGCAGGTTTACAGAATCTGGGTTTTGGTCTTTTGGCCACACCCAGGGGTGCTCGGGAGCTACTCCTCCCAGCTATATAGGTGGGATGCAGGAGTGTCACTCTAGTAATCTGCTGGACCATGCAGTGCCAGGATTGAACCTAATCTCTTGCATGCAAAGCATGTGTCTAACCCACTGAGCTATCTCTCTGGCCCTTGCCATTTTTTTTTTAAATCTTTTGCATTTTCCTAATTGTTTTTGATGTAAAGTGAAAAAGTAAAGGCCCTCCCGTTGTTCGTCGATTTGCTGGAGCAGGCCCAGTAACGTCTCCATTGGAGACTTTGTTGTTACTGTGTCTGGCATATCGAATACTCTCGGTAGCTTGACGGGCTCTCCGAGAGGGGCGGAGGAATCGAACTCGGGTCGGCCATGTTGGCTGCATGCAAGGCAAACGCCCTACCGCTGTGTATCGCTGTCTACGGCCATACCACCCGGAACGCGCCCGATCTCATCTGATCTCGGAAGCTAAGCAGGGTCGGGCCTGGTTAGTTTTTGATGTATTATTTATTTGCTTTTTGGGTCACATCCAGCAATGCCAGGGGTCACTCCTGGCTCGGCACTCAGGAATTACTCCTGGCGGTGCTCAGGGGACCATATGGGATGCTGGGAATTGAACCTGGGTCGGCTGTGTGCAAGGCAAACACCCTACCTGCTTTGCTATCACTCCAGCCAGCCCCAGATATATTATTTATTATCTTCAATAGGGTGAGATTCTTTGGGGTCGTCTCTATTTTTTTTTTTTTGGCTTTTTGGGCCATACCCAGCAACGTTCAGGGATTACTCCTGGGAGTGCTCAGGGGATCTTATGGGATGCCAGGGATCGAACTCGGGGGGTCACGTGCAACGCAGACGCCCTACCTGCTGTCCTATTGCTCCAGCCTGGTCTTCTCTAAGTTAGGTGCTTAATGCACTAACTTTTCTTGTATTGGCGCAACACCTGGTAGTACTCAAGGATCATTTTTGGTGGAGCTTAGGGCACCAAATGTGGTGCCAGGGATTGTGGTGCCAGTCAGACCATATGCAAGGCACGCACCCTATCCACTATACTTTTGCTCAGGCCCCATACAGAAAACTTTTAAAGCATCAAGGAAAAAAGTTCCCCATCATCACATTATGTAAAGATAACAGTTGTTAACATTTGGGCATATGTCTTTCCAGACTCTGCTCTTGCAGAGATGTTTTATTTTGTGATCTGGGGGAGAAAAAAAGCATAAACATTTAAGGGACAATGTCTTGAGTCTTTAGTCATCAATTTTATTTCTGTTTTTTAAACAGTATCTAACAACTTGGAAGTGTCCCTAAGAGCAAGGACCCGGCCCCATGCACTCCCCAAGGCGCCCCAGCCAGGCCTGGGGTGCAGGTTCCAGTCACCGCCCCTCCCCCACACCAGCCCCATCTTTCCTGGCACAGAAGAGGGTCTGCAGGGAGAGGGAAGCCGGCTGAGGGTGCTGTGTGAAGATGAGCTCAGACACAGCTGCCTTTGTTAGTGGAGGATATTTTGGGAGTTGGTAGCATGCTGAGACAGACTGTGGGAGGGCTCGGAGAGGGATTCTAGACTCCTCTGCGCTCCTTCCTGGGCAAGCCCTGCAGCCCCTTTCCCCTTCCCGGAGGTGGCAGCAGGAGATGGGAAGTGGTGGCCCGGGCCATCCTCTGTGTCCCGCCGCCCTCCCCTCCCCCGCCAACTGTGCTGTGTGCCTCACCAGATCCTGGGGCCACTGGTGAGGGAGGGCATTCGGACCTAAGCACAACCCGCTGGGTCCTGACTCCAGGGCTGGGACCTAACTGGACCAAACCTTCACCCACTCCCACCTAAAGGGGGAAAACAAAGAGCAACTCGTGCACGAATGGACAAACCTGAACATTTCGGCCCCAAGTGTGAGTCCACCTGGGCCACCAGGCCAGAGCCGCCTCAATGCACGCTGGGGAGCAGCCAGGGCAGCTCAGCCTGGAGAGTCAGGGGCTGCCGCAGGGCTGCAGCCACCCTCCCCCAACTCCTCACACCCATGGTAACCATGGAAACACTACCACCCCCTCCTGCCAGCTGCCTGGGTTTAGACAACCAGGCCTGGCCCACCTCCACCAAGAAAAGGCCTGAACCAGAGCCAGGCTGGCCCCGGCGTGGCTGCGGGAAGAACGGGAATTGGGCGATTTGGTCAGTCCGGGTGTCCAGCACAGCTTGGGAGGACTACCACAGGAGCCTCCTCGCTTGCTGCCTGGGCTGGGGGCACCTCGGGCTCAAACGGCCAGCTCAAAGGATGGCAGCGCCAGCACACGGCCTGGAAGCCCTGGCCCCATGGGCTAACAGCTGCTGTGGGGCAGGAGCCCTTGCTGCTGCAGCAGGAGCCTCTGGGCCTCGTTGAGGGGGCTTTGGGGCTGCGGCGGCTCCTCCTGGCCAGGCTGCTCAGGGAGGCCCCCTGGGCTGAGGATGTAGCGATAGTCACTGGGAGTGCCCCCCGTGGCGCCCAGAGCACTGCCATCCCCCACCCCACCGCTGGCCTGGTCTCCGCTGGGCAGTTCCAAGCTGCCTCCCTCAGCAGGCTCATCGGCCCTCTCCAGGTTCATGTACAAGGGGTCCCGGCTGCTGGAGAGCACCGACAGGTGGCCCAGGATGCTCTCCAGCTCCATGCGCAGGCAGGTGAAGCTCGGGCGCTGCTTGGGGTCTGTATCCCAGCACTGGTACATGAGCTCGTAGCTGGGGTAGAAGAAAGGGAGAGGAGCCGGGTGAAAGAGGAACGTTAGCCCTTTCCTTAAAAGCAGAGGCCCTGGGGCCAAGGGACAGATAGTACAGCAGTAGGACGCGTGTCTTACATATGGAGACCCAGTTTGTGTCCCCAACCCCACCCTCACCCTCACCCCCGAGAGATCCCTGAGCACTGCTGCGTGACCCAAAACTAAAACCAAACCAACCAAACAAACAAATAAAAGTTTTTTTTTTATCATATAGAACCAGGACTAGTTTAGTTTCGGTGGACTCCCGCAATGCTCATGGGACCATTAGTTGCCCAGGACAGAACTCAGGGTTCCCACAAAGAAAGAACACCCGGGGCTGGAGAGATAGCACAGCGGGTAGGCCGTTTGCCCCTTGCAAAAAAAAAAAACAAAAAAGCAAACAAACAAAAAAAAACACCCTCCAATCCTTTGAACCTGACTCCTGAACTAGGAACTTTGTTTTTGTTCTTGGGTTTTTTTTTTTTGGGTCACACCCAGGGATGCTCAGGGGTTACTCCTGGCTCTGTACTCAGGAATTACTCTTAGCAATGTGCTCGGGGGACCATATAGGATGCCAGGGATTGAATTCAGGTCGGCCGTGTACAAGGCTGACACCCTGCCCACTGCACTGTACTATCATTCTGACCCTGGTCTTCTCTAATTTAGGTGCTCAATGCAGAAACTTTTTTTGTTCTGGGGCTATACCTGGTAGTACATTTCTGGTGGGACTTAGGGGATCAAATGTAGTGTCAGGGACTGAACCCCAGTTAGGTCACATGCAAGGTAAGTGTCCTACCAACTGTACTATCTCTCCAGCCACCAGAACTGGGAATTAAAAAAAAAATGCATTGAACGCAGGAACTCTTCTAAATATTTTACATTGTTTGGTTTGTTTTTTAGGCCACACCCACTGTAGTTAAGAGTTTACTCCTGGCTCAGGGGTTTAGGGATCACTCTCACTCACAGTGGGGCTTAAATATTTTACATTTGTTATTTAATTCCTACAATGAGCCTATGAAATAAGTTCTGTTTTACCAATGTGGAAACTGAAGTACATAGAGGTCAAGAGCCCAAACCAAGGTCACACAGCTGAAAAGGGAGGGAGATGCAATTTGAAGCCAGGAGGGCTGGCACTGCTGTCCATCTGGGAGGGATGCTTGGAGTGTTCCTGTCTTGCGGAACACAGCCTGGGGTCAGGAGTATTTTTAGGGGACTGATGTGAGCAGCCGCTCAGGTCTTTCTCAATGGCAGACAGAGTACCAGGCCCCACACCTGGCCCCAGGTTCCTGATTCAGATCCAGCACAGCACCCTCTCCCTGGACCCACCCAGGGAGTTTTCAGGCCTCATCACTGATACTTTGGGGAAGCCAAGTCTCTAGCCTGCCTTCCCTGGTTGGAACATTCAGGCCAGACAATGATGGGACCCTTATAGATTCTGAGGTCTAGGGGCCCAGAAGATAATATAGAGGTCAAGGTTCCATTCCTGGCTCTACACAGGATCCTATGCCCTGCCTGGAGTGATCCCTGAGCACAGAGTCAGGAGAACGCCCTAAGCACTGCCAGGTGTGGCCCCCCAAACAAACAAACAAACAAAACACATATTCCCTGAGGTCTCATCCAAATTCCCAGAGAATTCCTCACCCTGGGAGGAGGGAAGGGGAAGCTTGGTCAGAAAAAAGCCCAAAGGGCACAGCTTCTGGGGGCTGGAGCAATAGCACAGCGGGTAGGGCATTTGCCTTGCATGCGGCCGACCCGGGTTCGATTCCCAGCATTTCATATGGTCCCCCGAGTGATTCCTGAGTGTGAAGCCAGGAATAACCCCTGAGCATCGCTGGGTGTGTGACCCAAAAAGAAAAAAAAAAAAAAGGACACAGCTTCTGCATGCGGGAGGCCCAGAAAGATTCCCACACCACAAGACAACACCATCCCCCCTCCTGCCCCTGGTGCTGGAGTGTTGGAGGGTTGGAGTGTCTCCTTGGCACAGTAGGGTATGGCCCCAGCAAACAACTCATGGGAAGGGCAGGCAGATCACGGCTGGTATCACGTGCTGGAGCACACAGTGTGAAATCAAAGGACTCGTGACCCAAATCCCCACTCATCCACTTAATAACTGTGTGACCTTGCCCCTGCTACCCCCCTCCTTAATCCTGGCTCCTCATCTACAAAATGGGCTAACAATAGTCTTTCCGGGTAGGAGAGAGGAGGATTACAGGAAAGAATGCCTGCAGGGGCTCAGCTAACGTTAGTGATACGGGTCCAGTGGTGGAGACTGCCTCTCCCACCCCACTCCGAGAGCTGCACCACAAAGGAGAAGGCAGTTCCATTCTCCCTGGAATTCGGTCTGTTACCTAGGCTCGCTCACCCCCCAGGAAGAGGTCAGACAAGAAGGCAAGAAAGACTCCAACCTGGGCCCCAGTGGCCCTCTCCTCGTCAAGCAAAAGCTGTGAGGGGATCTCAGACAGGGAGGGAGAGCACAGTCCAGAAGAGTCCTCCAGTGTGTATGTGTGTGTGTGTGTGAGGGAGCAGGGAAAGTGTGGAAAACTGAGGGAAACAGGCCTACTTCTCAGGAAGATACAGAACTGGTGGGGTGGGCTTGTGGTTCAGTGGAGTGTGCAAACTTTGCATGTGAGGCCCTGGGTTCAGTCCCCCATAATGAAAAAATATTATATATATAATATATACTGTAATTATATATGTGCATATATATATATATATATATATATATAAAACACATGGAGTATAGGGATGGGAGAGAAAGCAAGGGATGGTGGATAAAGGGATCTGGGGTGGAGGTTAGTCTTCCCTTTAGTAACATAAATTTTTCCAACAACAGAAGGTAAAGGAGGGTGCTGGAGAGATAGTACAGCAGGTAGAGTGCATGCCTTGCATGTGGCAGACCTGGGTTCAATCCCTGGTACCCAACATGGTCCCCAGAGCCTGCCAGGAGACAGGAGTAAGCCCCGAGCACTGCCAGGCATGGCCCAAAAACAAAACACCAGAAACCACAAAGATAAACCACAAAAACCACCAAGGCCTGAGCTCCCTCTGGGCCCTGCAGCTCTCCTGAAATTCCCCTTCCCAGGCCTGAGGCCAGGTCCTCAGCACGGCTGGCTGAGGACTGGCTTTGGATGCAGGAGGTGGGCTCTGCGGGGTCCCCCAGCTCCACTCAGAGCAGCCTCAGCCTTCTGGGAGTGGTCCCAAAACCAACACCAAACCCGACCCACAAAGATCCCCCACCCTCTTTACCTCTCAGCAGCCCTTCCCTGGGGACTCACATGTCCTCCATACACTCAGGAGGCTGTTTGAGGCGGTTCCCGCTGATGAGGTAGTTGTAAATCTCAGCATTCTCGATGCCGGCGTATGGCGTCTGCCCACGAGTCATGATCTCCCACATGGTCACTCCAAAAGCCCACTGGGTCAAAATGCAGGTGGGGAGGGAGGTGTCAGGAGGCTTCCTGGGCCTGGGCCAAGCCCACAACGGCCCTGGCTTGGCCCTTCTGAAGCGCCCCAGACACACTGCAGTGGGGTAGTCAGTCTGCAACCCCCCTCCCCCACCCAACCACACTGCAGCAGGGCAGGCATTCCCGCCCCCCAGTCCCGCTTGAACGTGCTGCCCACTCACCACGTCACTGTGCACCGTGTACAAGTTGTCGGCCAGGCTCTCCAGGGCGAGCCACTTGACGGGCAGCTTGGAGGCACAGCCCTGCCGATAGTAGTCCCCGCTGTAGATCTTCCGGGAGAGCCCAAAGTCAGCCACACACACCGTCATGTCTTCAGCCAGCCTGCAGCAGGGTGGGACATGAGGCCTCCGCTCTGTGCACAGATTCAGGGCCTCTGTGCTTCCATGCTGTCCCTTGACAGAGCCGATACTGGCCTGTCCTGGTTCCCCAGGGTGCTCCCCTTTCCACCCCACACACATACACTCTGGGCATATCCTTACTTACATGCAGTTTCGAGCTGCCAGATCCCGGTGGATGAAGTTCCGGGAGCTCAGATACTCCATGCCGCAGGCAATGTCCACCATGAACCGCACCAGGGTCTGCAGGGGCAGGTTCTGGTAGGCGGATAGGGCACGGTCAGGCATGGTCAGGTGGGGGTCCGTGCCAGAGAGGACCCCCTCAGAATCACCTAGGGGTTGAGCAAACCATCCTACACCCAGGAAGCTCGGGCAAGTCTGGAAGAGTCTGGAAGAGTCTGTGGCACACGCTCCTCGGATGCATGTGCCACAAAGCCCCCTACCCCAGAGCCCCCCCACCCGACCACTTAGAGGGAGGAAGCCTGCTAGCATACAGACCCCAACTCAGCCTGCCTTCTCCCCCCCAACACACACACTCACAAAAGGATTCTCCCCAATGCGGGAGGCGAGCAGGAAGGCGTGCAGGTCGCCGTGCTTCATGAACGGCAGGATGACCATGGGGATGGGGAGTCGGCCTTTGGCCCTGCTCCGGAGGCTCACCCCTGGGGCCAGGCAGAGATGGCAGCTGGTCACAGCAGGCAGGGACGACTCTGAAGGCCCCGGGAACCCTGCCTGCTGGACAGGACCTTGAGGCAAGGCTACCTCCTGCTCTGAGATTTCCACACTGATCTGATGAGCATCTGAGGGGCCTCCCCTGTCCCCCCACGCTCTGCTCTCAAAGCATCTCAGGACAGAGACTGCACACTGGACTCTGAACAGAGTTCTTCCGGAACCCCCATCCCTGCTATTCTCTCCCTGCATTTTTTATTGTTGTGCTGTCTTCGGGCTATCCCTGGGGATACTCAGGGGCTACTCCTGGCTTTGTGCTCAGGTATTACTCCCAGCAGTGCTCAGGGGAAGATCTATGGTGCTGAGCATCAAACTCGGGTTGGCTGTGTGCAAGGCAAGCACCCTTCCCACTGTACTAAGTCTCCTGCCCTATCTCCCTGCATTTTCTTACTCACCAAGTCACTCTAAACTTGTTGCCCACAGGCTGCTCCCCTACCTTGGGGAAGCTGAGTTTTCACCCCGTTTTTCCATCTGCCTCTCCCACAAATGGCTCACCCACGAGCTTGGCCACGTGTGGGTGGTCAAACTCCTTCATACATGCCGCCTCCCGTAGGAACTCTTCGATGTCACTCGAGGCAATGATGTCGGCTGGGGGAGAGAATAGGAGAGAGGGAGATGATGTGGCCCGGATCCCACTGGAGATCCTAAACTGAAGTCTCAGGTTGGGATCCACAAAGTCTTGAGCTTCGCAGAACACCAAAGAGTCTGACCATGAGCAGGCAAGCATGCCCCATGTCCAGAGCTCGACAGGGAGCCCTAGGGCAGTTACTATGATGCTAGCAAAGGGGGAACGGGGGCATGCAGGCATGAGGGTCTGTTCTGGGGAACTATCTGCATGGCACAAAGCACCCCAGTCCATGGTTAAGCCCATACTGCTGTCATTCCCCCTCTCGCCGTTAAGGGGTGTGGCCAAGCTACCCCCCTGCTTTCCCCTCACCTTTCAGCATCTTCACAGCCACTTTCACAAATGAGCCATCCTCCTGCTTCAGCTGGGCCTCCCGCACGGAGCCAAACTCTCCTGGGAGGCAAAGGATAGTGAGAACCCCCCCAGCCTTCTGTCCCCCACTCTCTTTCCTCCCTTGGGGGACCTCCCTAAGATCACAATCTCTGAGGCTCCTGAGGAGACACCCTTGGCTGGAGCCCAAAAGAATTTTCTGGGAGTGACTCCTGCCTTCCTCGGCCACCAGTCCCTCTAACGCTGAACTCTAGTGCCCACAAATACATCCTTCTTGGAGCTGGAGTACAGCGGGTGGGGTGCCTGCCTTGCACATAGCAGACCCAGGTTTGATCCTCAACATCCCATTATGAGCCCCTGAGCTCCATCAGGAACAATTCTGAGCGCAGAGCCAGGAGTAACCACTGAGCATTGCCAGGTGTGGCCCCAAAACAAAACAAAACAATTCATCCTTCTGTAGGAGCAGACTTGAGCCAACACCCTCCCAGCAGTGGGACCAACCCAACACCCCCTCAAGACCGCACAGTCCCTGGCCCACACCTTTGCCCAGCATCCGGCCCAGTGTGAACTGCTGCTCAGGGATGAGCACGTCCTCCAGCTTGTCCTTGAGTTCGTCGCTGATGCCCAGGCTGTCCACTGTGCAGAGGGACAGTGAGGATGGGTACGCCCCTCCCCGACTGGTCAGTCTCCATCCCAGACCCCAACCGTGGGCAGATTGGCCCATGCTGGCTCTTACACCCCGCTGAGGAAGCCCAGCTGTCCCCTCCTGCCCATGTTCCATGAGGGCAAGGAGCACTGGCAGGGTAGCAGAGAGCCCAGTGCCCTCCGCTGAGTCTCATCACTCACGTGTGGCCTCAATGCGCTCGGGCCGCTCCCGATTGAAGGACCGCGCTGCCCGGAAGTGGACAGCAGGCTCGCCCCGGGCCATGACACTGTCAAAGGCTTGTCTGAAAGGACCAGGACTTGGGTCAGCACTGAGCCTAAGAATCACGGCTCATTTTCCCCAGGCCCATCCACTTCCTCGAACCAGCCACTGTCCCAGACCCCCCCCACTTCTCCAAACCAGCCACTGGCCCTGAAGCATACCCCTTACTGGAACCAGCCACTGACTCTGGGTCCACCCCTTACCTGAACCAGCCACTGACCCCAAGCCCACCCCTTACTCAAACCAGCCTCTGACCCCAGGCTCACCCACTTCCCTGAACCAGCCAATGTCCCCTGGCCATTCAGAACCAGCCTCTGTCCCCAAAGCACACTCCTTACTCGAAGCAGCCACTGACCCCAGGCCCACCCCATACCCAAACCAGCCACTGACCCCAAGCCTACCCCTTATTCGAATCAGCCACTGACCCCAGGCCCACCCCTTACTCGAACCAGACACTGACCCTGGGCCCACCCTTACTTACCCGAACCGTGTCTCCTTGCGCCTCTTGCGGAGCAGGATAAGGGCCAGGGCAGCAGCCGTGATCAGGGCCGTCAGCACGCCCAGGACCACAGGCACCCAGGATGTGCGGCTATGAGGAGGGGCCTGCTGGCCTGCGGAGACACAGGGCCCGAGACAGGCTGTTCTCAGGAATCCCTGCACAGCTTTCCCGGGGCAGTTCTCTGGCCTGGTGAGGGCTTCCCTAAGTTCCACTGGGGTCCCAAGCAGCAAGAGGCTTCGAGGGAGGAACCAAGAACTCCGACCCTCGTCCTGACAGTTGGAGCCGATGGGACACACGGTGTCACCAGGGATTTCTGTGCTAGTCCCAGAGTGAGGAGGATGAGAATTACAAGTGAGGGGGAGGTGATGGGGAAGGGGCTCTCTGGGCGGTGCTGAGGGCTGTGTTGGGGGCACTGCTCCCAAAACAGGGCTCTGAAGTCTCTCCCAGAGGAGCTGGGCGACCAGGGACCAGACCTGGGACCCCACACACACAAAGCAGGTGCCGAAGCCCCATGGGAGCCCCCAGCCCATGAGCTAGAGTCTAAATCCTAAGCTGGCACTCAACTCTGGACTGTCTTTGGGCCTCTTAGGAGGAAAGCTGTTGCTTACCCCACCCCCACCCTTGCCCCGACTTCGAGCCTCGACCCCTGACCCTGCTCCTCCCCTTCCAGGCCTCACCTGCATGGTCATGAAAAGAGACCACCAGGGGCTGACTCCAGGGCCCGCAGCCCACCGCATTGGCCACGCACACGCGCACTGTCAGGTCCTTCTGGGGATCCCAGCCTGTCAGGTTGGCCATGGTCCCCTCCACCGTAAGTTCACCCTGTGGCCGGGAAGAGCCCCCAATCCCACACCAAGCTTGAGGAGGAGGACTCGGGGGTGGGGTGGGGGTTAGAGATAGAAAAGGGAGGCAGAGCGACTGGGGGCTGGGGTACGGGGAGTGCAGAGGCCGCTCCAGAACATAAACAAGACTGTTGGCATGCAGAGAAGCAGGCCTTATCTACTTAGCAGGGGAGGGGAGGGCGGCACTGGGCAATGGAGTACAGGAGACCCAACCCACTCTGGCCCCCAGGGGCAGCCTCTCAAGCTCAGCACCCTGAGATCCGACCCTTCTCCTTACCTGGGTTCCATTGTCCTGAACCCAGAGCAACTTATAGGGCCCCAGTGGGACCTCCAACGATCCCTCGGGAATCACTTCTTCCCACTCCAGGATGAGGCCGGAGTCAGTGTGGATGGCGTGGAGGTTCTGGGGGGCACTGGCTGGGGCTGAGCAAAAGGAGGTGATAAGTCCCATCCTTCCCACCCTCACGGCCCCCCTGTCCCAGGCAGACTGGGGAACCAACTCCAAGAACAAAGGGGCGGAGAGTTTACCTCCCCTCCCTGAGTGCTCCCACCCAGGCTGGAGGTGGGGGTGATTCATGGCAGGTGACACCCCAACTCATCAGCACGCCTCTCAGGAGGCTGCCTTTCCCTCTACTTCTCCCAGCTCTGCTACTCTTTGCAGCTGCTAGAGAATTCCGAGCAGCTGCCTGGCCACTCTAGCCAGTCGGGCCTGACTCCCCCACATTGCTCTCTACCACCGGCAGCCCCATTCATGACCACCCTCTTTGCTAGTCTGCCCCACCCATCGGAACAGGGGAGAGGTGGGTTTTGTCCCTTCCCGGGTGTGAGGTTCACATCAGGCGCTCAGCATAGCACGCACCTCCCTCTCAGAGAGCCCCTCTCCCTCCTGTCTCTACTCAGAACCAGAGTCAGGGGCTGGAGAGATACCCAGCGGGCTGGAGCATAGGCTTCGCAGGGTTCTCCCAGCCCAGAAAAGCCAGGAGTGACCCACCAAGCACCCAGCCATGGCTGCCAAAACCCAAACCAGAACCAGAACCGGAAGCAGCGGTGCAGTTGCCATGCTCCTGCCCAGCCAGCAACACAGCTCAGCTGAGTCCCTTACCCAGACCCTTCGTCCGAAAGGGTACCCAGTCAGCATACGGAGAAGGGCCCAAGGCGTTGGCACAGCGCACCCGGAGGCTGTAGTTGGTGGCAGGTGCCAGGTCCCGGAGCAGACAGGTAAAAGGAGGCACAGGAACCACCACAGCCAGGACCTCCCAGTCTCCTGGGGCCTGCGTCACCTATAGGAAAGCAGAGAAAAAACAAGGGGGAGAGAAAGAGGAGACAGCATAGGTCTGGGTACCGGAATGTCTTCTCAAGTCTTTTGGCAAAGACCTGCCCCCTCCCCCCACCCCCACCGCGCACTGCCTCCCCGCCATCCCACCTCAACCACACCCCAGGTTCCACATCTGCAGGCTTCTACAAATGTGGTTCCCCTTTGCTTGGAAGGACCCGCTCTTCCTGGCAAAGTTCAACTCATCCCTGAAGACTGTGCAAAAAGCACGTCTCTGTAAGTCTTCTCCACCCTTTCCAGCTCCTACCCTGTCAGACCTGTCAGAGCAGTTACCACAGGCCACACCGCAAAGCCAGAGCTAGGCAGGCTCAGGGCTTCCGGACAGAGCATCTGGTAAGCAAGGGGTTTGGGGGGCCAGGGTCAGAGTACAAATGGAGATCCATGTGCCAGAAGGCTAAATATTTAAATGATGTCAAGCAGCTGACAATTCAATAAAATGCTTTTTCCTCTTTATTTATTTTTATTTTGGGGGTCACACCCGGTAATGCTCAGGGGTAACTCCTGAATCTGCCCTCAGGAATTACTCCTAGTAATTCCTGTATGGTGTTTAGGGGACCATACAGGATGCCAGGGATCGAACCTGTGTCGGCTGCATGCAAGGTAAGTGTCCTACCTGCTGAACTATCACTATGTCCCTCAATAAAATATTTTCTATGCTGAGAGAAAATATCAACATAGAAACCTTCAAAACCTCGAAGATCAGGTCTGCACTGATAATTCTCCAAAGTCCTAAATTCAGCCAGAAGGTGGTAGCCCAAGGAGAGTCTTCAGCTAAGCATCAGCATGCTGAGGGACACCAGGGGCAAGATGGGGACGCCCCACCCACCCACGTGCCTGCCTCCCCACAGGAGGAGTGTTTGGGGCTGAGAGAGGCAGAGGCCACAGTGTGGCACATGATCCAGAAGGCAGATCAGGGAAGAAATTTCCTCTGGGCCCTGGCAGCAGGGTCAGGGCCATCAGTGAGTTTCCTGAGTACCTGGAAGTGGGATTGGTGTAGGGAAGAGCACATCTTCCTGCCCTGGGCCAAGAGTATAATCAAAGGGAGACCAAAGTGGGAGGCTCTCACATGGAGTCCCAAGCAGGGGCCTCTCTTATCCCCTAAAATATGGCCAAGGGGCTGGAGCAATAGCACAGCGGGTAGGGCGTTTGCCTTGCATGGGGCCAACCTGGGTTCAATTCCCAACATCCCATACGGTCCCCTGAGCACCGCCAATAATTCCTAAATGCAGAGCCAGGAGTAACCCCTATGCATTGCTGGGCGTTACACAAAAGCAAAATAAATAAATAAATAAATAAAAATAAAATAAAACACAGCCAAAGGAGCCCACTGCCTTGAGGGAACAAGAAAATAAACAAGCCCTGGACTCTTGTTTTCAGGATCCCTTTGCCCAGTTTTTCCACTCTAGGCTGAGACTCCTCGGGTCCCCTGGCTGGGGTATGAGTCAAAGGGCAAGACATGAGACTGCTGGGATCACATCAATGCAAGGTTGGGGTTTTCATCCAGATAAGAAACTTCCAGCACGCCCTAATCCATTCCAGCAATGTTATCTCGCCCGAAGAATGCCCAGGCTCCAGCACACCCCACAGCACCCTGCAGTTCACAGAATGCAAATGGCTGGCTGAAGAGCCCGCCCCCACATCTCAGCCTACCTGAACTGTGCAAGACTGGAGCAGGGACAGGCCATCAGCACCTGGCACCCAGGCCACGCTCGCATTGTTGCTGGAGAGCTTGGTCACCGTGACATTGAAGGGGGCCGCGGGCAGCGCTGCAGGTGGGGAGGTAGAGTCAGTGCCAGGGACAGAGGAGGGGGTGGTGCTTCTGGACTCAGGCTCTGTGTCTCTAAAGAGCACAACCAGTCACCCCACACCGAGGAAGGGGTAGCTGCTTAACAGGCTAGTGCCCAAGCCACGGAAAGTCATAGCTCTGCCTGAGTCAGGGGCCCTGGGCATGGGTGGGGGCAGCATCTGGGCCTTGGGACGCAGAAATGAAAGACAGACCGCACTGTACCCGCTGGCTCTCCCACTGCCCTCCTGCCTGGCTGCTTCCGGCCGCTGCCCTCTGCAGCGGCTGACACAAGCCAGGCTGGGCAGGAGCCTTGACCAGCTCCTGCTGGCTCATTTCCCTCCCTCCCTCCCAAGGAGTCCTCTGCTGCTTCGTGATGGGAAATCTGCTGTGACGTCAGGTTTCTATTCTTAGCCGCGGCGGGGTCTCAGGTGTTTCCACAAGGAATGGAGCAAGAAACGGAGTGAAGCCAATTAAACCCCACTCTTTTCCTTCCCGGCAAGGCTGAGGGGGGCTTAGCAGGCAATGCTCCCTACTCCCCCACTCCCCGCCCCGCACCCCCTCTCCTCCATCCTGCCAGCCCTCCTACCTTGAAGGCGAACAGTCGCGGGTCGAGAGGAGGCCAGGCCTTTCCCGTTGTGAGCCTCACAGGAGAACACTGTGCTCTGGGTCACTCCTGGGGCCAGAAAACCTCAGTCAGCCCCCTCCCCCTCCCCCACAAGCATTGACTCTGGACCTTGGAGGTGAACACGCCAAGCCCGGCCAGATTGTGGGGTAGAGTGGCTCCTGCCCAGCCTGGCTTGTGGGGGACCAATCGGCCTGGATCTAAGTCCCAGAGCTGAGACGGAGATCTCACCAATGACTTCTAGGGAAGCTGCACAGTATAAACCGAGCTGCTGTCCCACCCCTCACGCCAGTCCCTGGAGAGCACAAAGCTGCGCCCTTCCTGGACGTGCCAGGTCCTCCTCTGCAGCCTCCCTGCCCTCCTCCTGTTCTATTTGTGGATTCTCTGCTGTGCCTGCTTCCAGTTCCTTAAACGTATGTCATGTCTCCCCCAAACCCATTCCGGGGTGGGGGGGGCTGGCCTGGTAGTCGCTGTTTCCTTTGTATGCTCTGGGTTCCCCGCGGTGTCTGGCACAGTGCGGGGTGTCGAGTAGGAGGTCGGTGAGCGCTTATTAGCAGGGTGGCTGCCTGAGGGTCCCAACCACGCATATCTGAACCCCAACCATCCCTGCACCTGCAACCTAGGGCCCCCAAGCAGACTCCCCGCCCCCCAAGGGCCCAGTGGCCACCTCTTCTCCAGAATCCTGCTACTTACAGGCTGGGCCGGTGGCACCCTCGTCTCCCCCTTCCCTGGACTCCAGACCAAGCTCCCCTACCCATATCTTTTGGCCAGTTCAAGCACGGAGCAGAGGGAGTAAACTCTGCTTCAGATAAGCACCCCGAAGCATGTGAGGTATGTGCCTGAGGACCGAGGGTCCAGGTGGCAGTGCAGGCGTGGCCCCTCTGGGGCCAACTGTGTTGAGGTATCAACAGTTATTGTTGGGGAAAACATCTGGAGGTCTCTGGAAAGGGCCATTAGGAGAGGAGAGACAGTCCAGTATCTAAGGTTCCCCCCTCCCCTTACTGCCCTCCCTCTGCAGCCTGAGACTTGCCTTCCTGGCATCTGTCAGACACTCCTCCTAGTTCTGCGTGGGCTGGCTCCTGGTTCCTTCCCTGGGCAGGGGGAGGGGCGCCAGGACCAGCTGTGCTCAGCCTGGCTGCAAACTCGGGCTGGGGGCACCCTCCTCCACATCATGAAACAGCAGCGCCAGGAATCAGCCCACCTGGCCGGCTGGGCACACCTGCCTAATGACCTGGGGAAGTTCTGTGCACGCACACCCCCCCCCCCCCAGAGTCCAGGTCCTGCTCTGGACACACACCCAAGTGTAAAGCAGGATTCAGTGGACTCTGCTGGCCTCTCCACCCCCTGATCCATGACCCTTCCCCAAGATGGCTCACCTGTTACGTTTAAAACGGAAGGAGACGGGGCTGGTTTCCCAACTCTCATGTTCCCTCTCCACCAGATAATGGTGACAGGCTCAGGGGGACCCACAGCCTCACAAGACAGCTGGAAGGGGGCATTGGGAGGAACTGCCAGATCTTTGGGCTCCACGGTGAAAAATGGCACACCTAGGGAAGAAAGGGGGTGCAGAAAGAATCTGGGCATCTCTTGCCACCCCTCCCAACTCAAGTTCACCACAAGAAGCCCCCTAGGAAATGTTCCAGCAGGGGCCATAGAAATAGCCTCCGTGAGCTTCCCTTGGGCAGGCTCCCTTGCAGAAGCAGAGAGGAGGCTGGACTAGGGCGGGTGGCCTGGGGGAGGGACAGGGAGTGGGCGGGAGCTCGAGCAGAGCTGGGCTGGCTGGCAGGCCTGGCCAGTTGGACTCCCTGCTCTGCTGGTACAGGCCCTTTGTTACTTTCTTAGTCACTTTGTTTTGCTGGGCTGAGCAGTTCTGGGCTCCCGCAGCTGCCCAGCCTCCATCGCCTCCCCCTTCCCTGCCCATTTCCAGCCAGCCACTGGGCACAGCAGGGTCAGGGCCCAGACGGGGTCTTGTGGCTTGTTGCTCAGAAAGCTTAAACAGACTGTACCCCAGAGGTTGGGGATTTGGGTTATCCCCTTAGACCTCAAACATCAGAGTCCTGAGGGTCTTTGACAGCAGGGGTGAGCCCAGAGTCTGAACTTGAGGGAGCCTGGGAGAGCAGCCTCGCCTGCACTTTCTCTGCCAGAGGCAAGGTGGCGGGTACCTGCTCTAGGCCATCTTGCATCCAGCCCAGGTCTCACCTTCCACTGTGAGCGACACGGGCTGGGAAGTCTTGGTTTGTCCCCCATCCTCCACCTGGCACCAGTAGCGGCCGGCGTCCGAGCGCTCCACTGACTTCAGGCTGTGGGAAGAGGACATCAGTCTGGCCTCTTGGGGTCCCAGGGGGTGGAGGGCAACTCTGCAGGGCACACTCACTGCGGCTGTCCTACCTCTACTTCTAGAAGTTTCCACCCATTGTGACAGGCCTTGGGCCATCAGCCTTGCCCCACCACTCCGAAGCACTAAGGCTGGAGCTAACTCATTGGACGGGCCCCACACCTGAGGAAGGCCACCCAGTGCTGCTCGCTGACGGAGATGAACATCTGGTCCACATTCTGCACCGCCGCCCCGTCCTTCATCCACTGAATCTCAGGCTCCTTCATCCCCTCCACGCTGCAGTTGAGACTCACTGGCTGCCCCTGGGACACCGTCAGCTTTGCTGGGGCTCCCACGAGCTTCAGGTCTGAGAAGTGGGGAGGAGAAGGCGTCGGTCGACTGGAGAGGGCCCCTGTCTCTGGATAGCTGTTCCCTCCCCGTCAGAAGTAGCTCCATGTCAGGCAGGTCATTTCAACCAGTGGGCAAGGAAGAGATTGGGGACAGAGTGTGACAGAAGGTGGCCCGGCCCTGGGCCAGGAAAGAGGCCTGTCTCTGCCACAGACAAGTTCCCCCAGTGCTAAAGAAAGTGACCTGTCCCCCCACACCTCCCTGCTGGGCAATGTTCAGCTCAAGGCCAGCCTCGGAAAGGAAGGCAACCTTCCACCTGGGACCAGTTCTGCCCTAGGAACCACCACCATACCGGAGAGAGCAACAGGCTCTCCTGCCAGGGCAGCAGCCCAGACTTCCCACGGCTGCCAACACCCCACCCCGGCAAGCAAGCGGAAGAAGGCTGAGAAGGGAAAGAGGGGGGGCTCCCCTGAAGCAGAGAACATATGGCTGCAAAACCACGTCAGATCAAACACCCGGCACCTTCCTGGCAGCCACGGGTTCTATGAATACCTGAACGTGTGCAGGGGCAGGTGCCAGCGCAGGAGGGAGGAGGCAGGAGAGCAGGGAGGGGCCCTGAACAGGGCAGACTGAACCCTCTGAGCTACAGCCTCAACTGTGACCACCCAGGGGCTGAGGAAAGAGCGCAAAAGACTGGGATGCACGATTTGCTCTCGCTCTCGGGAGCCCCGGGTTCAATCCCCCACATGAATGCCCTCTCCAGCACTGGGCTGAGAGGAGCCCCCCTGGAACCACCAGGTGTGGCCCAAAAACCAAACACCTGGAAACAAGGGTCACCCTCTGGAACCTTACACACACCGCAGAGGGAGGCACAGAGGAGAGGGAGGCGCAGAGAGAGAGAGAAAGAGAGACAGAGACAGAGACAGAGAGAGAGAGAGAGAGAGAGAGAAACATCCACATCTTTCTGGATGTTTTTGAGGAGATGAACAGGTGAGATATTTGCGCAGCAGAAATCCAGTCCTGCTTGGTCCTGCCCTTTGCTGTGAGACTCCAGGCCAGCTCCTAGTTTCTCCGATCCTGCTATAGACACCTTTAAGCTTGTAAATAACTTGTCACCCTGTCCCTTTCCTTTCCTGATAAGCCGGTGTGGCAGGGAGTGGTGTCTGAAGAGGTGCCTGCCCAGTGGCTGCTGCCCCGAACTCTGGACTTGCCCTGCCCGACTGCGTTCTCGGTCTCAGGATCACTCACAGCTGGGGGTTGCCTCCCACCCCACAGGCCCAGCGGTCCAGGGGTAGGGAGTGGGAAGCTGGGGATCCAGGTGCAGCGGGCACTCCCCGGTTCTTGGGGGGGGGGGGGGCGAATCCGCACCTACTGGGCAGACTGGCTCCAGCCCAGCCTCTCCCACATTCCGGGCTCCGAGAGAGCTCGGATGGACACAGGATCCGCGGGCGTCCGGAGATTTTCTGTGACTAGGCACCCCCCCCACCCAGCCCCGATACCTACCCGGATGGCACAGGAAGGGGTGCCGGTTGGGTGCTCAGCCCCAGCCCCAGCGGTCTCGGAGCGAGACCTTCAAGTGCGGGGCGGCAGCATGGGGGTCCCCCAGAGCCGAGAGGGGAAAGCAACCAAGTCCGAAGCTCCAGGGCGGGAAAATCCAGTCCCCACCACTCCCCCCCCGCCGCAGACCACTCAGCCCGCCACAAAGTTGGGGGGGCCGGCCCAGCATCCCGCGCCCCGCCGCGCCGCGCCCCCCGCCGCCTCGGCCTTGCAGCTTCGCGCCCGCCGCCGCGAGCCCCGGGCCGCCCAGGCCGCGCCCCTCCGCAGACCCCCGCGGGCGGCCGCCGCCCGGCCGGCCCCTACCTGCGGCCGCCGGCCCCGGGAGCAGCAGCGCGGCCAGCGCGGCCAGCAGCAGCGCGAGCGGCGGCGGCGGCGGCGGCGGCGGCGGCGGCGGGGGCCCCGGCCGCCCCATGCTCCGCCTCAGCGCCATCGGCCGCGACGCCGCACCATGCCGGGCCCGGCCCGCGAGCCGCCCGGGAGGAGGGAGCGGGAGGAGGGCGGGCGGGGGAGGAGACGCGGGACGGCGCCGAGGGGCGGGCGCCCGGCCGGCCGGGGGCGGTGCTGGGGCCCGGCCGCGGGGACCCGCGCCCGCCGTCAGCCGCGCACGGTCCCCGGGGCCGCCGCTGGGCCGGCGCGGTCCTTCCCCGGCCGTCGCCGCCGTCGCTGATTCATGTTCGCGGAGCCGCCGCCGCCGCCGCCTCCCCCCGGCGCAGCCCGAGCTCGCACCGCCCCCCGCGGAGCCCGGGGCGCCTCGCTCAGAGCGCCCAGCCCGGGCCGCGGGAGGGGGGTGTGGGAGCCGAACTCCGCAGCGCTGCCCGGACCAGAGGCCGACCCCCGCCCGGGCTCCCGGGCCACGCCCCTCCCTCCCCCGACACACTCCCGCGGCCATCCAAACCCCACGCGCCAGGTTGTCCCCTCCACGCCTCGCCGCAAGCCTCGACCACACCCCAACTTTCTGCCCGGACTCGGTATCTCAACCCCGGCCTCGAGCGCGCAGGGACTGTCCTGGCTCAGGCTCTCCCCCCACCCCCCCACAACCCTCCATGCCTCTTGCGTGAGTCTCCTTCACTCCAGATCGCATCTTTGTGATCGCTCCCCACCCCTGGTATCTCCAAGACTTTGGGAGACCTTGAGTCTTTTTTTCTTGGGTTGCTTTTTAATCGCACCACCGTGACACAGTTACAAAGTTGTTCGAGATTGAGTTTGGATCATACAATGTTCCAACACCCGTCCCTTCACCTGTGCACGTTTCCCAGCACCAATGTTCCGGGTTTCCCTCCTTCCCCCCCCCCCACCCCCGGTCTGCAGGTCTTGAGTTCTGACTTTCCCCAAGATCTTAAGCCTCAGCTCTGATCTACCATCCCCAGGTGACCCTTACCCTGCGGTCCTGGGGGACGAGGGTGCGCTGGTGTTGCGGGGAGGGGCTGTCACTCTCCCTAGTCGCTTCCCCCACTTCTCCCTCCGCGCTCCTCTCCCGCTTCCCCAGGACCGGGTGGGAAGGTTGGCTACGCTCAGGAAGTGCAGGGAAAGTGCTAGTAGCAGACCACCGTGCACATAGTAGGCACTCTATAAATAGAAGTCTGTTAAATGAATGAATATTTGCCTCGGAGCTTGGCCTGCCCCACAACCAGTAATCACGGGGGTGGCTGTGCCCACGGACATCCTGTCGCAGAGAGGCAGCGCTGGTTCCAACCCAGCCTTCGCTGCAGCCTTCGCGGTCCTTCCCCTCCTCTACCTGTACCCGGGCGCCTACTGGGGACTGGCCCTGGTGTGGGGGGGTGTGGAGTGCGAGAGGCTGAAGCCGTCCAGCCCTCCTTTGCCTCCTGCCTCGCGGGATCTTTCCAGGGATTCTCCGGAGCAGCAGGGGCCTGCCTCTTCTTCTACTTGGCCCGGGCGGTGCTTGTTTATTAATTACGCTAATGACAACAACAACAGCAGTGCGGGCGACAGCCTCAGCCCCAGCTGGGGGCGCCCCCAGGCGGCGGTTTAAGGAAACTCTGGCAACGCCGGCCAGAGTTGGACGGCGTCGGGGCTTCCAGGCCGCTAAGCTGAGCCTCGGCCAGTTTTCTGGACACTCTGGGTCAGCTCCAGGATCCGTTCCTTAAGAAACAAAATTTGCTCCGAATCCAGAATTCTCAGCTTCTGTGCTTGGACCGAGTTGGATGAGGGCAGCCTGGCCACAGAGTGGGGCGCAAGCCAGGCTGGCTGGAGCAGCTGCTGCGGCAGTGAGGAAACCCAGGGCACTGCTCCAGGGCCTCGCCGGCCCGCAACTCTCATCTCTGCGGCTGCAACTCAGGTTCCCAGGGAACAAGGCTGATATGGGAAAGACCCCTGGGAAAGGACGTAGAAACCCAGAACATGCTTCCTTCCCCCCCATTCCCTTCCCATCCTTTCTCTGTCTAATAGGGAGTCCCAGCCCAAGGACCATTCTTGGTCACCTATCAAAATCGGCTTGGGCAGGAATGCCACTGTCTCTCCATTCAGACCCCTGGAAACATCCTACAGTGCAGCTGCATGCCTGGTGTCCCTGGAGCGGAAGCTTTCCATGGCCTTGAGTTTCTCGCTTCCTCCCCTGGGTCCACTTCTGAATCCTCTCAACTCCTGATATTTCTGCCAGCAGCAGAGGTGGGATGGTGGGGTCCTGGTCTTCTGATTTTTGGCTCGAATAGAGAACATTTGATTTCATGAGCCCTCGCCACTCATTCTTCCCCCCACCTCTCCCTCCCCCTCTCCCTCTCCCTCTCCTTTTCCAGACAGGATAGGGCTGTGTTGAAGGGTCTGTGAGCAGGTGTGAACTTGTAGAAGAGGTGTGTAGGTGGGTGAGAGGGTGTACATTGTGATTTATGAGGGAGGGTGTACATTTGTGCAAACTCTAAATATGACTGACATGTTGTGGGTGGATAAGGAGAAATGTGTGTGTGTGTGTGTGTGTGTGTGTGTGTGTGTGTGTCTGGAGGAGGCTGGCTGCCTATGCAAATACATGCTTGCAAACTCTCCCTTCTTTCATAAATGCATTGCTTGGAAGGAAACTAATCAAATCAGTAGGAAATGTATTTGACCCTAATGCAGGAACTGCTGTCTCAGAAGTTCCTGTCCTCAGAGCAGAACCAGAGCCAACTGTGATGGCTTAGGAGAGAAAGAGGAGGTATGGGGAGCAGGAGAGCCTGCAGCAGCTCCTGACGGTGGATGGAGCTTGCCAGCCTGGGGCCTCTCTCTTAATCACTTAATCACTTAACTTCCTGTTAGTCCTTGATTTGCTCGAGCGGGCACCAGTAACGTCTCCATTTGTCCCTGTCGTGTGCTAGTGTAGCCCAATGGCATCTGTTTGCTCCGGGAACATGAAGGGCTTCAAACCAATCGTTCATGATCTTGACGAAGAAGTCTGACCATCTGGTAGGTGGGCGGCCACGCGGTCTTTTGAGATCCCGTGGAATCCAGTCGGTAACAGCTCTAGTCCAGCGGTCGTCTTTAAATCTCATTACGTGACCAGCCCATCTGATTTTCGACACCTTGGCAAATGAGACAGCATCCCTGATTCTTGATCGTCGATGGATGTCAGAACTCCGGATTCTTTCTCTCATTTGAGTGAAACGTGATATTCCAAGCATAACTCTTTCTATTCTTCTTTGGGAGACCTGAATAGCGTTCTCATCTTGTTTGCGTAGGGCCCAGGTCTCTGAGGCATATGTTAATGCAGGAAGAACAGTGGAATCAAAGAGATGTGCCCGGAGCCGGAGGTTCTTCGTCCTCTTAGCTATTTCTTCGACGTTCTTGAAGGCGTTCCAAGCCGCTCTCTTCCTCCTGCGCAGCTCGGGTGCCAGGTCATTTGTCATGTTGACCTCTCAACCTAGGTAGACATAGCTGTTGCATTCGGAGATGGTCGTTCCATTGAGAGCGAATGGGGCGTCAGGAACGAGGCTGCTTCTCATAAACATTGTCTTCGTAAGATTCAGCTGTAGTCCTACCTTTCCACACTCACGGTCAAAGTCGGCCAGCATTTGTGCCGCTTGGCTGATGTTTGGTGTTATTAAAACAATGTCATCAGCAAAGCGGAGGTGGTGTAGTTGCCGACCATCTATCTTCACTCCCATTCCTTCCCATTCCAGTCGTCGCATGATGTTCTCGAGGGTGGCACTGAAGAGTTTCGGTGAAATGGTATCACCCTGCCGCACCCCTCTCTTGACATCAACGATCACTTCTTTGTAGAATGGTGAGATCCTGGTAGTGAATCCGCAATACAGCTCACGGAGGATCCTGATGTATTGGGCTTGAATGCCCTGATTGGCTAGTGCTTCAATGACTGCTTCCGTCTCAACAGAATCAAAGGCCTTCTTTAAATCAATGAACGTTAAACAGAGCGGCATCTTGAACTCCCGAGAAACCTCAATGAGCTTGGTTATCGTGTGGATATGGTCGATGGTGCTGAATCCTTTGCGGAACCCGACTTGCTCGCATGGTTGTCCTTCATCTAGTGTTCTGCCAATCCTATTTAGGATGACTCGAGTGAACAACTTGTAGATGACAGACAATAGGCAGATCGGGCGATAGTTGCCAATGTCATGGATGTCTCCATGGATGTCTCCCTTCTTGAACAGGTCCTGCTGGTTTTCCATTGGGACGGAACCTTGCATTCAGACAGGTAGCGAGTGAAGAGCCGAGCCAGTGTATTGATGAGTACTGACGGCAGGTTCTTCAGGTGTTCAGGTCTGACCTTGTCTGGGCCGGGTGCTGTTTGTTTCTTTACCGATGAAATGGCGTGTTGGATTTCAGAAGGGAGAACGTTGGGAACGACATATCCATCCTGTGGAATTTGGTATGTCGGCAAGTGGACATGGCTATCGAAGAGATTTGCGTAGAAGTCATGGATAATCTTCTCCATTGCCGTTCTGGAGGATGTGATGGATCCATCAGGACGTCGGAGGGCAGTCATCTTGGTCTTGTAGTTGGCGAAGGACAGGCGGGCCTTACGAATACTTTTCCCGGCTTCTGCCGCATCTACCAGTACTTCTGCTCTTCTCTCTTTGAGGTCTTCCTTGATCGCATCTCTGCACTGCTTTGCGAGCTCGGACGTTAGCTTGCGGTTGCCTGAGGCATGCGCCAAACCACGCTGGCGAATTAGCTCAAGAGTTTTTGAAGATAGGCGATTCTTTTGGCTATCTCTCTCTTGGTGTTCCTCGCACATCCATGGAGGTGCTGAACCAGTCGATCGTATTCCTCGTCAATGTTGTCAACAATGGCATCTTCCCATGTTGCCGCAATAGTACCAAAGAGTTCCCAGTTGGTGGTCATTCTGGGAGTTCTCTTTTTGAACTTTGCAGCCCTTTCTCCCCACTCTGTGAAGTAGAATTTTGCATGAAGGAGACGGTGGTCCGATCCCGTTCGAAATTTTGGGACAACAGCGACATCGGTCAGGCAAAACCGTCGATTGAATATGGGCCTCTCTCTATTCTAGTGAAAT